CCCTTTGAGCTGCAGCTGGCAGCATCAGCTTATCCCACTTTATTCTTCCTTCCGCACATTTGTCATATTTCCAAAATACTGTACCACAATTTTCTTTCACACTTCTTGCAAACAACCGTGCTCTTGTCAAGCTCCGTCTTCCCCGGAACATTGTAGCATCTGAAATGACTTTACACCGACTTTTAACAATGAAGGAGCAGGTTGAATCACTCTGTCCTCCTCCACGCTAGTAGTCTACATTCAGAAAAAGGGAGCTGGCTAACTAGCTTGCTGTACGGTGGCCTACAAGGACAAATTTTATGGTGACGGGTGAACATGTAATGCGATATGCAGTACGCTCAGGAGTAGGAGCGGGGGAAAAAACAAAACAAACATATTTTTAAATTGATTTATGAGCCTTTAGAATCTATTCAGAATCTAGATTCTTTAATGAATTAATTTTTATCTGTACTTGTATGCCAGAGTTTTAATGAGAGTTCAAAGGAGAGATCATATTTCTCCAGTTTTAGCTTCTCTCAATTGGCTCCCCGTCACATTCAGAATAGAGTTCAAAATCTTACTTCTAACCTACAAAGCTCTCAATAACCTAGCTCCATCTTATATTACAGATCCTATTGTTCCATATTTTCCTAAGAGAGCACTTTGCGCTCAGACTGCAGGTTTACTTGTGGATCCTAGAGTTTCCAAAAACAGAATGGGAAGAAGATCTTTCAGTTATCAGGCTCCTCTCTTGTGGAACCATCTTCCAGTTTCTGTCTGTGAGGTTGACGTTCTGTCTACTTTTAGGACTAGACTGAAGACTGTACTTTGTGATAAGTCCTATAGTTGAGTTTGGCTTCGGTTTCCTGAGCTATCCCTTAGTCATGCTGCTTTATAATTAGACTGCTGGAAGAAAAGCTGACCACATCTCTCCACTCTGCTGCCATTCTGCCATTCAAACCAACCATTCTGTGTTTGTCTATTTATTGTCCTCTCTGACCCTAGACATTCAAGGCTGAGGTCTGACTTTTTACATGTTTTTAAATATGGTTTCACCTTAGTATGAAGTCCTTATTGGGGTGGGGGTGGGGGGGGGGGACTTGCTTTGACATTTGCAATATTCCATTTTTATAGTTTTATTTTTTATGGTTATCAAAAATAAATTATATTGTCCTTGCAGGAAAGCATCTGTAGGTAAGTTGCCAAGAGTCTCAATAAAATTACTGAGAGAATTATATTTTTCAAAGCTGAGGATTTCCCTTATTTTCATTAAAATTGAAAAAATAAAATTTTAACCATGATTTAATGCAATTTAGACAGTTCAATAATGGTTTCAGTAGGTTAATGATGTCTAACCTAATATGCAGATAGACCTAAATATTATCAGCAAAGCAACAAAAATGGGTGTTGTTTCTGATGAAAGGCAACATAAACATGTTATGTTTGATTGTTTTGTTGAATACCTTACTGTTTACTGTTTTTCTTTATTCCTCTTTTTAAAACTTTATACTTTGTTTTCCACAGGTATCAGATTCACACAGGCCTTCAGCATTCTATCATTCGAGCTACCCAACCCAACTGCCTACCCCTGGAAAATGTCACCCTTCCTCAGAAACTGAAAGAAGCAGGCTACTCCACACACATGGTGGGAAAGTGGCACCTGGGTTTCTACAAGCGTAGCTGCCTTCCTACACAGCGGGGTTTTGATACGTTTTTCGGCTCCCTGCTTGGCAGCGGGGACTATTACAGTCACTACAAATGTGAAGGGCCTGGTATTTGTGGCTATGACTTGTACGAAGGGGAAGAAGCAGCCTGGGAACAGGACCATGGTTTGTATTCCACTGTGATGTTCACGAGAAAGGCTATCAGTATCTTGGCCAATCACAATCCTCGCAGACAACCCTTGTTCCTGTACTTGGCCTACCAGGCAGTTCATTCCCCATTGCAAGTTCCTGACCGATACCTGGAGCGCTACAAAGGCATTCCAAACCTTCAAAGACGTAAATACGCTGCCATGGTTTCATGCCTTGATGAAGCTATTCACAACCTCACGATAGCGCTAAAACGCTATGGGTACTATGACAACACTATTATAGTGTACTCTTCTGACAATGGGGGACAGCCATTTGTTGGTGGAAGCAACTGGCCCTTAAGAGGGAGTAAGGCATCTTACTGGGAGGGGGGGATTAGGGCAGTGGGCTTTGTTCACAGTTCCCTGTTAGTGAACAAAGGGACAAAATGTCGAGCTTTGGTCCACATTACAGACTGGTTTCCTACACTGGTGACCCTGGGTGGAGGTACTTTAGATGAAGATCTTAATCTGGATGGCTATGATGTTTGGGATGCTATCAGTGAAGGTCACCCTTCACCTCGCCTAGACATCCTTCATAACATTGATCCAATTTATATTAAAGCCAAGAATGGATCTTGGAAGGCTGGGTATGGCTTATGGAACACAGCCATTCAAGCCGCACTTCGGGTGGGCCACTGGAAACTGCTTACAGGTGTGCCAGGCTACAGTGACTGGGTACCTCCACAGACCTTCTCCAGCCAGCGGCTAACCAGTCGCTATCATAATGAACGAATTCGTTGGGACCGGGGCAAGTCCGTTTGGCTGTTTAACATCACTGCTGATCCATACGAGAGAGTGGACTTGTCTCAGCGTTACCCGCACATTGTGAAGAAGATGCTAATTCGACTAGCACAGTACAACAAGACTGCTGTACCAGTTCGCTATCCAGCCAAAGACTTACGCTCAAACCCACAGTACAACGGAGGGGTGTGGGGGCCCTGGTACAAGGATGAGAAAAAAGAACAGGAGGAGGAGAAATACAATAACTTTTTTTTGACAAACCATCTTAGACAAAGGAAACTGAAAAATAGATCAAAAAATAAAAAGTTTAAAAGAAAGACACAACACTAGCTAATCATGTATGTGAAAAAAATATGTTTGCCTTCACTCAGGGATTAATGCTTCTGGTTTCAGGACTTCCTGTTGTTTATATGAACAGTTTACACCAGGTAGCTTTAACTGAACTTCTTCATGTACTGTATAAAAACTGAAGGTTAGTTTAAAGCAATAATTAGGCCATTTTGAATTTGAGTTCTGTAGAAAATTTCTAAACAATATACTTTTTTTGGTTCTTGATTGACCTGTTTGGATTTACAGAAAATGTTGGACAAAACTGACAATCTAAAAGCTAGTCCCGATTCAGCTAGAAGCAAAAACGTTTGTCATCTTAAAACAATTCCAATCTTCAGAGTTCCACAACGGTTTCTGCAAAGACACATTTATAAAATCTTGATTTAAAATCTTAAATTTATAAAAATTTTTCATGGTTATTTACAGTAGTCCCTCACTTATCGCGGGGGTTAAGTTCCAGACACCCAGACATTTTCATAGTGGATAGTATATATATATATATATATATATATATATATATATATATATATATAT